TGCCTTCGCTGCTCAACACCAGCAGCTTTCAGCCTCTGAAGTGTCCTTCACTGCTGCTCACATGAAGATGTCCTGAATGTGTCTCAAGTGGCCTCCCTGCCTGCCACATAACAACATGTGCTCTGCCAGCTTTTGTTTCATCACAAGAGAGCCTAGAGCTCTTCTGCTTTCGGAAATTGGGTAAGATTTAGTCTCCTTCCTACAATGACTCAGTGTGCTGCAGAAATTACTTCTGCCTTGTATGAGCAGCTACTGTGGATCTCTCAGAGCTGTGCCAGTCTCTGCTAGCCACCAGCTGCCCTCTGGAGAGCAGAGCAAAGACCTGGGGCTGCTCCACACTCTGGTCTTATGATTGCTAAATATAGTGCATTGATAAATAACATAAATGCACGAAGGGCACAAGAATCAACAGTTGTTGCAGTTGCTAATGCAGCCTTTTCTTCTGTTCCTTCACCCGTGTCACTGACACCTTTCAACATCACCCTTTGCATTTTGAGTAGGTATTGTAGCTTTGCACTGCTATTTCCAAGGATCTAATCTGGCCAGCAGAAACTTACTTCCCTTGTGTTTTATTAGGAGTAATAAAAGTCACACCTTCCCTCAACACTTGTAAACTGAGTGCATCTGGCATGGAAGTAAGTGCAAGATGGTGAGACCTCAAATGCGAAGCCCTTACTCCGAAATTAATGGTGATCCTAATGGGAATAATTCCATTCAAAGGAAGTGTCAGATAAAATGAGTCTATTTCCTTAGGGAAGTGTGTTCTTTTATAAAGCTCTGCCAATCCCTGCCTTTTTAGAAACCAAATTGGCAGTCTCTTTGTTTCACAGCCAAATTCCTCATCCTAGGCCTGGAGTATGTCTGGGAAAACATTTCTTAGAGAATCCCCTTTTATAAATAACCTGGAGAAGCAAAGTGTTCTTTGTATCCTTCCTAGAACAAAGAGCAGTGGGCTCTAAAAGGGCATGGAGAAAGGGCTGGTTCCTCGTAGAAGAAAAAAAATCTTGATCTTGAGGCTGATGTTTGCAGCTTGTGCTCAGGATGAGTCACATGAAAGGCAAATTGAGATAAGAGCAAAGAATCCTGAAAGAAAATGACTGATTTTAATCTCTGTATCCCATTTTACATGGTCTTTGCTGTGGAAATAAAACCTCTGCACTTCCCTGTAATGTCTCCTTAAAAAGTGCAGCACCACGAGCCCCCCTGAGCTTCCTACCTGTGCCTTCACTGTATCCTTCCCTGAGCCTCTCAGGAGGTTTTTGCTCTGTGAGGGTGCTCATGGTCAGCCTGTCCCAGCCCTCCTGCAGCTGTCACAGCCACACCGTGTCCCATCTCCAGCCACACTGACTCTGAGGCAGTCACATGAGAACTTTTATCACGTTTATGTAGTTGCACGTGAATATCACTAGATGTCCTCTACTGCTAAGTAGCTTCACCGTGGTCTGTGCCGAGCACCAGAGAAATTCGGTGAAATCAATCTCAGTTGTTTAAGCTATCTTATAGCTTCATTGTTCCTAGCCCATAGAAGCAGGGCAATATTGTTCATCCATAGCCCAAAGGTGTGATCTGCTGTCTCTGACCAACTGGACTCACAGTGGCAGCAAAGTTACTGCAATGGGTTCACGCAGATTTGGAGTCAACTGGGAATGTAGGAACATCTCAGCCTTTTCCTTTGCAGCTCATTTGAGACTGAGCCATCAGACAGGGTTCAGGCTGTCTCCATGTGCTCTTCTCCAAATTCAGCACCGAGGGTCAAGTACACAGGGCTCTGCTCTAGCAAGATCTCATCTGATGCAGGATGGTGCATTTACCTCTGAAGGGTACAGGCAGGTACAGCTCCAGGCTCCAGCACAACCTGCCTGTCCTCCAGACAGTGATGCAAGCAGCACCTTGGGTCAGTTCTTGGGTGAGCCACTGCATCCCCTCCAACCCCATCTCCATCCTCTGACTTCCCTGAAGTGACCTCTTATCCCTGGCTGTGTGGCACCAGCAGGACCTTGCTGTGGTGCTGTGCAAACCCTCGTGTTTGCAACCTCCTGCTGCAGAGCTTGGGCAAGGGAAGTGTCCCCAGCAGCCCAAAAGGCAGCTGCCAACAAAACAGGCCAAGAGGCTCACGCTGCACTAACCCACTCAATATGGGATAATAAACAGCCACTTTCATCTAGACCTAATAGTGACATATTATGCTACATATATAATGCATCCTCTGATTTAGTGAGAGCTTGCCTGAAGTATAATCTGAATTGAGGAGTTCAGAGGTTGTACAGTCACTTCAATCTATTCACTGAAGCTGAAACAGACTGCAAATGTCATGTGCTTAAATCTATATGGGGGAAATGTTGGCTGAAATTTTAAGGCACTCTTTTCTTTTAGCTTTGTATTTTGTTCCAGGGTTTGAAGTGTTGCCCGTCCTGCACTCACATGCCCCCAGGGAGCGCTGGTAAAGGGGAGGCTCTTCATGCCACTGCCTCTGTTGTCAAACTGACGTGATTTTTTGTTTGAGGGCTCCTTGGGGTGAGTCAGCAGGATACAAAAATGCACTTAAATAGGAGTTGTATTGTATAAGCGCTCAACCACAGCAGCAATTCCCCTGTAGCAATGTTGTTAACTAATATGCACTACAAGGAATTTAATGCTGCTCCAGATTCTGGATGGAATTGAAAGAGGACTTTCTGGCATTCTCCTCCATCCATAATTTTAGTATTTCTAATGGATAAGAAGGCTACTGAGAACTGAGCAATAGCCCAGATACCTGACATACAGGAGCCAGGCCACAGGCTTTTCCTGTCAAATGTTACTGACTTTGGTATGAAATGCCTCAGAGATTTTCAGATTTAGGTGTCTGAATATTTGGCTTGATTGGCAAATACAGCTATCTCCACAGAAGCAGAAATGTGCAGCTCTGAAGGGTGATCTGTTTAAGATGCCCAAATAGAAAGCTGGATGCCCAGATTTAAAGATCTAAACCTGAAATCTTTGGCCTACCAGTCCCAGGACTGCTGTGTCCCCAGCATTTAGTGACAGCATTTGCACACCTCTAAGGGTGTATAAATGACCTGCTGTGTTTAGCTTCGCTGATTCTGCCCTTGCTGGTGGCAAGATGTGCTGATAGCAAAAACCAGATAGCCAGCCGCCTCCATCACTGCACTGCAGTCGGTCCTGGAAAGATGAGGAGGCTGTTCTGTCCTAGCAGGAAAATTTGTAACCAACAGAGAAGCTGTTTCACACTAAATTCAGGTGCAAACATGTGACTCCTTTTGATAAATCCACACCTTATAAATCCAGCTGTTGATTCACGTGAACAAAACACATCTGTCCCACGGTTTGGTTGGGAAAGCCTGCGGGGATCCTCCTAGTCTGCTCCCTCTCACCTCTTCCACGCTGCTGGACCAACGCAGATTTTGAGGCAGATACTCATGTATCTTGTATGTAAAATGAAAGTACACTTCTCTCTGCCTCTTACACGTGTGGGAAAGAGCACAGAGGCTGTCTTGTTCTGTGCATGTTGCAGCGCTACTCCTTGGGCAGATCTTTCTGGGGACTACCGGAGTGTATGTAATGGTAATTCAGCACAGGAAGAGCACTGTGACTCTTCACTTGGGTTTAAAAACCATTTTGAGTTCCTGTACTTCTGTTTTGCAAACCACCAAGGAGGTAAGCCCTGACCCAGCAAGGTAAATTAGCAGGTGCCTAAATGTAACCCCCTGAGATGCAGTGGGCACTCCGTATGTCCCTGAGCATCCTGCAGGGTTGTGCCCAAGGTGCTCCTGTGGTAGGACACAACCTTCCTGCCATGGATTATTCTCACACAGCTATTGCCAGCATCCTCTGTGAGGGCAGCATGTGTCAGTAAGTGTGTGTAGGTGCAGGAGCAGAGTTTTGCTGGTGTCAGGTGCAAGGTGTGAGGTGCCAAAGAGCCCGCAGGTGGCATGGGAAGCACTGCTTTGGTTCTGCCTTCCAGTGCCAGCCAAGGGCACAAATGAGAAGTAAAAACACTGCCCATGTGTTCCCTGAGAGCTATATAGGATGAGCTGTGGTGTATTAAACAGGAATTTTCTTACTGGGATTAAAGTTAATGAGGCTTTCTCATATATGTATATGGGGGAGGAGGATAAGGGGGGTTGTGCGTGCATAGTAGCTGGTTCTCAAAAGCCCGGTGTGTGCTGCGTTCATGTGGTATGAAAGGCGCTTGTACCAGTCCGTGCCCTCCGGCTGTTGCCCCGTCCATCAGATGGAACCGGCTGTTTACGGTCCTGCTCCTCCTCGCCAGCTGGCGGCTGCACAAACCCGGCGGCCGCAGGGTCGGTCCGCTCCCCTTCAGCCACAGCCCCGCGGGGCCCGGGGTGCGGGCGGGGAGAGCCGGCCCGAGCGGTTTAAGGTGCCGCCGCTGCCGCCCCGCTCCACCTTAACGCGCGGCGGCGGCGGACGGGCCCATTGCCGCGCCGGGGGTCGGCGGGCCCGGGCCCCCGGGAGCGGCGCCGCGGCCGCGCCCGCCGGACAGCGGCACCCACGCGTGACCCGAGCGTGTCCCGGCCGAGCCGCCGCGCCGCAGGTGACGGCGGGGCCCCGCACCGCCGCGAATCCCCCTCCGGCGGCGCCCGGGCCGGCCCCCGGCGGCGGGGCCGGGCTATTTATAGCAGCCGCGGCGGCGATATAAGGGATGGCCGGGCGCGGGCTGCGCTGCCGCGGCCGCCGGGGCCGGAGCGCGCAGGGGCCGCCGGCGCTGCCCGGCCGCTGAGGGCGCGGCCCCGCAGCCCGGGGTGAGCTGGGCGGGGAGGGGCTCGGAGCGGTGCCGCTCCGTCCCGTCAGCGGGGCGGGGGGACGCGGCCGAGCACACGATAACCCGGGCGTGTTCTGGCCGTCCCCCGCAGGGCGCGGGACGGCGCCGCGCACTTCGGGCGCTCCACGCGTGACAAGCCCGCCGGAGGGGCGGGACCGCCGTGACACCCGGCGGTAACCGCGGCGGGTCTTCCCTCTCTGATTCTTCCCTCTCCCTACAGCGATTCCCGCTGAAATGCGGCGCCCCACGCTGGCATGAGCCCCCCCGTCGGGAGCAGCGCGCCCCGGGCACCGCCGCTTTCCCTGGCTGCAGCTCGGTGTCGGGAAGAGAGCGCTGTCGCCGCGGAGCCGCCGCTCGCAGCAGCGCCGGACGGACGGTACGGGGGCTTCGTGCGGCGGGAGGGCTGCGGGGGCCCGGCGTCCCTGCCCCGCCGAGCGCCGGCAAGAGGGAATGTGTGGCGCAATGGTCGGAACGCCGTGCGGTCCGTGTCTTCTCCGGGCTGTGCGCTGAGGAGAGGGGTCGCTCTGAGTTACGCGGTGTGATGGAAGGTCTTTGTAAATTGAGGGTTTGTTGGATTTTGCTTGTGACAGGGATTTCACATCACACACACACACACACACACACACACACACCCCGCCGCAGATTTAGAGTCGCGGTAATATTTTAGTTTCCTACCCTGGGTGTATTTTGATGTGATCTGGGTATGGCGAGCTTTCTTATCTTACATTAAAATTGCTCTTGGATCACTGAGTACTTTGTATAAGCTTCCATAACTTTTACAAGGATAGAGATGCTATCTTCAATTACAAAGAAACAAAGAGAGGAGGAGGTACGGATTTGGGGTGGGTTTTTTTGGTTGGTTTTGGTTTTTTTTCTTCTGGTTTTACTTTACTTTTACTTTGCTTTTTTACTCTCTGCTGTAAGAAAACAACCTGAACCACAGATAGGACTAAGATTTTTCTGACCTTGTGATTGGGATTGCTGGGATTAGATAGAAAAGTTGTAGGTTTTTTGTTTGCTTATTTATTTTAATCAACGGTTTAAGAGCCCTAGAAACAACGTATGAAGCCCTGCTTCCTAGACAGAGAAACTCAGCTAAAGCCACGCTGGCTGTAAGCTGAGGAGCGAGTTAAGTGTTAGACCTCGGGGGGATAAGCCTCAAGCATCGTGCTCTCCTCTGCTCCAGTGACCCTCCCTGTCGGAGCTGATCGCGTCGTGAAACAAATTGGGACTTCACAGCGGCAGGTCGGAGTGGAGACAGGGCTTTTCTCAGAAGAGCAAAGCGCACAGGGGAGCCCCGACCCCGGCGTGAGGCTTTTTCCCAGCACAGGGAACTGCAGCCCTTCATCACTGTCAGCTGGCACAGTTCTCCAGTAATGCCATGGAAATACGAAAATCTAAGCCATCAATTCTTCAAGTAGCTTAAATCATCTGAGTTTGGATTTTGTTGGCAGGCTTAAAGGGATGCTATTGACTGGAAATGTTTAAACATCTTACCTGGAAACTGTTGTTCAAAGAAGAGTTGAGGTTAAGAAAAATGACTGAACTTTATAGTCATATCAGCTATAGATGTGCTTTCTGAGTTTTCACTCTGATATTATCTGGTTAGCTCAGGCTCTTTCTGCACAAGAGAGATGCATTTCAAAGCCCTGAAACTGTAATTTTTCTATATGAAAGGTACTTGTCTCTTGCTCTGAATATGTTAAAACAGATTTGCAGAAACATGGTCTATTAATTTAAGAAAGGCTAAGAGAAAGATAGGAGAAAGAAAAAGGGGTGTGGCAAGGAAATTACAAAGTTAAAGCTTTAAAGAAGAGCACCTCTCTGTAGTAGAACTTTGGGCTGCCTAAGAGAGATATGATTTCTTTCTAGATATTTGAGTCTGAAGACACCAAGCTGACAGCTTCTCCTTAAAGATAATAGTGTATGTAGAAAATAGGTATGACTAGCTTCATATTATAGTTCTGCATCAATTTATTTGTCTTTCTTCGGTTTTTCTCCTCCATTCCAGAAGATTTCCTATATGATAAAGAGCATATACCCAGACTGCAGAGAGCCAAATGACCCACCAAGCATCACTCCTGAGCCAGGGCAGCTGCACTAGGGTCAGAGCTGGCCCAGCACCTCTTTCAGAAATTATGTGAGAGGCAGTACTATTTATTGAAGTTTTTGGTGGGTATTTTCACAAGCTCAAATATTTTTGCAGATGTTCTAAGAATTGCAGAAACTAAACTTGCCTTCTTCATGGGAGGAGGTTTTAGTATTTGTTGCACTGGATGTTTTTTTCTTAACCTGGGACTGAGGCTAGCACTAGGGAGGAATAACATTGTATCAGAAGGTGGTTAGAGAGGACTGACTTCCTTCTCCCCACGGATTTTTTTGGCACTGGTGGAGACATGGCATTTGGGGACTGGAAGTGTGAAAATGAGTCCTGCACATGAGCTGGTATTGTCATTGGCAAAGACAGTGTAAGGCAGGTGGATATAAGAAAAATGGATGTGGTGATTCATTGGTGTTGATACTGTGCTGTGGTTTCTTAGGCTCTTCTTTAACTGCAGTGTCCTGAGTCCTCCCTGGCCCTAATTAGCTGCACCATGTCCTTCTAGTGGTGTTTCAGGATTGACAATGTTTGAGCAGAAACTCTACCCCCTTCTCTTAATTTTGGAAGGCTCCTTGAGCAAAGCTGTTCAGCTTCATTCATTTCTGCCCTTGCATTTTTATCGTCCTTCCCCCTGGGTGTGAAGTCCTTTCTGTAGCTGGATTCAAGCCAAGAACCTCTATCCACAGCTGCCAAGCCTGGCATCCTTACTGACATGCTGGCTACAGGTGAGTCAGCTCATTAGGATGAATCAGTATGCTCTATAAAAGTTTTAGGCTCCAGACTTCAGCTTGACTGCTCTTAATAATTTGGTTTTTCCTGGGTTATTTGTTTGTCACTCCTTCAGCCAAGCTGTCACTCCTGGTGGCTCCTCACTTCAGACTCGCTCAGCTTTTGGAGCCATGCAGCACCTTCAGTGCAGTGCCCCTACAATTTGTAGAGCTGCTTTTGCCTCAGCATTGTAACATATCCATGACTGCTTATCCCTTTACCTCTCTTACCTGCACAGGTGGAGTTAGGAGGGATTGCACCTTAGCATGGGAATGTGCAGCTCTTAATGCAGGGAGTACTTCAGATTCTGGAGGTGGAGAATATCAACATGAATCCACAGAAATGAAGAGGGGAGTGTTTTGCCAAGGTGGTGGTGTTTGCATAAGCTTTTACTGTCATAAATAAGTAGATTGAGATTCAGGGGACAGATTCAATGTGAAAAATAGGGAATTAATTTTCAGGCTTCCGAGGCAGGGCTAAGGAAGAGAAGTGGTATTAAAGATATGGAAATGTGCCTTGAAAGTGACCTTTCAAAGAGGGCTGACATTATTTTTGTTGTATGAAGCACCCAAGTTTAATGAAGTATAAAGCAGAAGGGGTTGGGAGGATTTGATCCAAGTGAAAACAGAATGAGCGTGGGCCTGGCAGATGGGAGGAACATTAGCTCACTCCTTGGTGGAGTTGTTGCTTCTTTCTCCTGTTGTTGCTTACAGGGGTGCTTGAGAGAAGATACTTACCAGGGAGGGGAGAGTAACCTTCCTGTTCTACTTTAATGTCACTGGCTGTATTTTTCTCTGTGGGGAAACAAAGTTCCAGCGCTCCAGTGGGTCACATCCTGAGTGTTTGTATCCAAAGTAAATCTAGAGCAACACCGTCTACTTCAATAACATCTGCAATAAGCCACAACTGGCTCTTTCTGAACAGAGAGGAGAAATGAACAGCTGTAACTTCTGATGCTGAATTTTTTGGCATACTCATTTTTTTGAGATTTATGGCTCTTTTATTCTCCGTTTGAGCATGTAGTGGAGCAATTGCTGATCCGAGCATGTGTATGTGTGAGAAAATGTCAGCTGAGGAGTAATATATATATGGAAATCTTGCATAGAGATGGAACAGGCAGCCAGTTTGCCATTAGATAATGAAATAATTGTACAAAAATTATTTGTACAAAAAAGTCTCCTGAAATAAGGATTGAGGGAAGGGGTAGGGACAGGGTTGGGGGAGGTTAACAATATTTTTAAGTAGCTTGCTCTAGTTACAGTGCTCATTACTGACTCTCCTGCAATTTTACTGCTTCAGACACTGCTTTTCCAGTGAGTGTTGCTTGGTGTTGCACTTGCAGATAGGTTTCTGAGAGACCAGCCCAATTGCTGGAGCTAGATGAAGGGATTGGAAATTGCCCCCAAGTACTTTCTTGGTGACAAACTGGCCAAAGGTGGGTAAGGTAAGGTCAGCAACTCTTACAGGTACCAACGAACCTGCCTCTCACTGAGATCACTTTTCTTCCATCTAAAATGGGGTAGTAGAAGTTATTTCTTTGTGGGATGTGTTGAGAGCATAAATATACATGAGATACTTCAGAAGGCATCCAAGTATCTGAGACGGTCTTGGATGGGATTCCCCTTCCTGCTACTTCTCTTCTGGCCAGAACTGACCAGCAGAAATGTTCAGTGCTTGTATAATTTACGTATTAAGTTTTGGCAAAATTTTGTTAACCTTGGAATTTGTTTGACATTGATAGGCTCAAGAGTAAAATCTTTAACTAGTTTCTTGTACTTTCTTCTTCTACTATAGACCAGCTTAAAAAGTTCCTGGCACTCCTTCACCTTCTCCCAGATAACACAATGTCTGCCTTGCCTTCTCTTTGAGAAGATCTGCTTCTGCAGAGAATGTTGAACCAAATCTCTAACTTTATGCAGGGTGGTAAAAGTGGTTTATTCTGTCTTCATCAGCTCTTGACTGCATCTGCCTAGTTCTTGGCCTAGAGATGAATGTCACTGAGGACTGCCTGGGGACTATTTTGCATCTGAATGGTGACTTGTAATGATTCAGGTAATGGGCCAGACCACTGCTTTATATAGTGACTGGTGCTAGTCCAGTGAAGTCCAAACAGCTGCTACAAATTTCCATCATCTCCAGTGAAAACAAGTACAACAGCATCAGCTTGCAAGCAGTTTACAGTAAACCTTCTCCCTGGGCTGTGGGTTAACCTCCTTAAATGTCCCTTGTGGTCAGGTCTGTTACTCTCTATGTGAAAATAAGTCTTTCTGATTTACTGGAGTGTAAATAAACCAAGAAGGTCTTTCACATTCAGGCTCTCTCATCAGCATATATTAGTAACGCTCATCAGCTTTTGACTGGAACTTTGATGGCATAATTACTCTGAAAGGGTAACATATTCAAAACTACCTGTGTGACTCTGGGAGTTAGATTCCTCAGAGTCTTAGTCATTATTTTAAATAGGAATTAGCTTTTTAAGCTACACACACTCCTGGAAGTTTTAAGCA